ATTTTACTTTATTTTTATTACGTTGTTAGTCTAGCGGCCTTTGGTGTGCATTGGAACTTTTTTTTTTTTTTGGATGTGTAGCGAACATATGTGGCTTCAGTATAGTTTTCTTTTGAGTTTTGACCTTTGCGTTTGCCTTCGCAGGAGCGTACAATTCAGAAAATATCGACGTCGATCGATTTCACTTTCAGTCGAGAATTTGTCGAGATTCTTCTTCTTCTTCTTCTTTTTTTTTTTTTTTTTTTTTTTTTTTAATCTTGTGCTTTTCAGAAGAAAAGTTTGCTGTTGCGGGTACTCGAAAAGTTTGAGACTGTTTGCTCGAAGTTGGGAATTTTTGGTAGCAAGGAAAACGTAGCGTTGAAAGTGCCACAACAGCTTTTGATTTCGAGTACTCGCAGGCATCAAACAGAGACTAAAAGCATTAGTTTTGATACGTAGTTTGTCACGATCTCCGGCGTTTATTAACATTCAGAATGTAGACGCTTCTTCGACAGACTTATTTCACTCGATCGCGATAATGTCAGTCGATTCGATCGCTAAAAAAAAATCTCTCAACCTTTCGTACCTATTCGCTTGTTTCTTTTCCATTTCGTACTAGAAAGATTTGCTCGCGCATAATTTTTCGCGTGGAAAAGCCACGTTGTGAGAGTACTCTGTCCAATATTTTTTTTTTCTTTTTTCCGTCTACATTCTGAATCGAACGGCAATCTTTCGAAAGAAAAGACAAAAAAAGAAAAAGAAAACGAAAGAAGAAAAAAAGAATGACTCTGGTTGCCGGGTATCTTTTTTTAATCTTTCATACGTACCGGCTCGCATCGAGCGGGCAGGTGTTGTAAGTATCGACTAATCGAACCGAATTCATTTTGCAGACTTCTATGGAGGAAGCGGTGCGAGGTGATCCGAAGGTGAACCAGTCGTCGCTGCTACAGAAACTGTTGTCCGAGTGACTGCCGGCCAACGTTCTGCACAGTGAAGGGCTGTACGTAATATACGTTTGAACGCGCGACAGGAAGAGAGCCGAAAGAAGGAAATTCGCGCGACCGAGGGCAAAGGAATAATAAAGATGGAAAGAAGATCGATCATATATACACACGCATCATGTGTACACCCTTATACGTAATGGATACTAATTTGTATTATATGTAAATGCTGCAAAAACACACGAAGTCAGTATTCAGATACGTATCACCAAATACAATTTCGAGAGAGAGAGAGAGGATTGAAGGAAGAGAGCGAGGGAAAATGAAATGGAAGAATGCTCCGGCGTCGTGCTCTCCGCGTGCTTTTCGCCTCTTTCGCATTTGATGACAGTCCGAACTCGCGGAGCAAAGATGCCAATTTCGAATTCGAATAGAACGAACGAAATTTCCCGTTTCCCGTTTTTGCGGCTGTGTCGTGATGTTCTCTGTGATGATCGGTACCAAGACTGGTGTCCCGCGGCTCCGTTAACGTGTCGTTAGCAACCGAGGAAAATGTCGTCAGTGCCGATGAACGATCGAAGGCGCCCCACTCTTCTGGATCGATGGATCGAAATACCGAGAAGAAAATGCGTCGATTTCGCGATTTCGATGACGAGCAAACTTTCGCGAGCAATGAGAAAAACGACGGGACGCGGGGAGCACGTGGCACGATAGTGGGATGTTCTTATTTTATATATATATATATATATATATATATACCTATCTATATATATATAAAAGAAGAAAGAAAGAAAAGAAGAAAGAAAGAAAGAAAGCCTTTCTCGGGGCATCCCAGCTTCGGACGATATTCGAGTATAAATATATAAATATAAATATATAAATATAAAATATATATATATATATAAAATATAAAATTACACAAATATAATACCGACACGATGCACTGACGGTTGTATAAATCCTGTGTGTATTCAGGTTTTTGCTAACGCATTGCCGTCAGTATTGTATTTGGTATCACTGAAAGAAACTACGTAGGTACCTCAAAGGTATACTTTACTATACCACTGGCTGTTGAACATAGAACTATTTATAGGTTTAATTATATTGTACACAAGAGGATGATGAAGTAAAAAAGTGAAGATTAAGAAGATAACGTAAGGTGATGATAGAAAAAGAAAAAAAAAAAAAAACAAGAAAGAAAGCAAATAGAGCACTATTTCACGTATTCTCTTAATTTAACGATCCTTTTTGACTATTACATTTATGAATAATATATTTGTGATTGTAAGAATCTGCAACCAAAATATGACAAAGAATACTTGTTGTTGTTAATATGATTATAACTATTATTATTATATAATAATTATTATTATTATTTTATTTTATTTTATTATTATTATTATTATTATTGACATCATTATCACTATTACCAATATTCTTATTGCAATTACTATATTATTCTAATATTAAGGATGATTATTATTAATATTATTTTATTATTGTAATAATAATTATTATTATATGAATATTGATATTATTGAACACTTCGAATATGCATATTTCTATTCAATAGTAAGAGTACCTTTATATACATATATGTATATATATATATACATATATTGTGTAAATGTATATGTATATATATATGTATATGTATAAGGATTTATATATCGTGTTATATATACATATGATTCGTTCGATTATTTATATATAATCGGTATATAAATTTACGTATATTTATATATGTATACGTGTGAAGAAAACGAGGAAGCTGAAATGAAGAAAAGAAAAGAAGAAAAAAAAAAAGAAGAAAAAAAAGAATAAAAGAAAATGGAGATCAATCCTTCTATTTTGCATAGCTCGGTAATTCTCTTTTTGGGTCTTTAGAGATGCACACTAAATTATTTCTCGGAAACATCCGTTGTTGCATTGATCGTAATTGTGAAATATAAATATATATAAATATATATTTATATATATATTTATATATATAAGAAGGAGAAAAATGTAACGAAAAAGAAGATAAGAGAAAGAAGAAAAGCAACAAAGAAGAAGAAGAAGAAAAAAAAAAGTGGAAAATACGTCTAACTCACGTTTATCGTATACGTATATACACACACGCTGTGCGGCACGTAAAAAACAAAAAAAACAAAAAAAAAAAATTCGGTGTGTATATATGTATATCATACATGCATATGAAAGAAATCTCACGCAAGTGTCTTATTTTTCCAGGATGTTCACCGATTATTAAACGAAGCGAAAGATTAAAAAAAGAGAGTAAAAAAGATTAATAAAAAAAAGAAAACGAAAAAAAAAAAAGAATAAGTGGAGAACGATGGAAGAAGTTGGAAGAAATTGCCACGAGGTGGTGAAATTCGCGCGCGCGTGGTCTTGGTGATGGCGTGTTCCTCGGACGGAAGTCGCTATGCGCCGGTCGCGACCGGAAGTCTGCGCCAGAATGCGTTAAAGTTTTTGTTTTTCTCTCTTCTTTTTAATTACGAGGGGCAATGCCCTTTAGCATATAGGCTGTTTTAACGCGATATGTATAGAGATATATATATTGTACAACTTCTTTTTTATCGAAATTGTTCACCGCCGATTTTTCCTATTGTTCTCTCCCCGACGTTCATTCTTTTTAATCTTGTTAATATCTGCTTATTGTCATAGTTTCGGGTTTTAAGAACGAACGCGTGCGAAGCATAGAGGCGGGGAGATTTGTTGATCGAGTTTTTAATCGCGATTGTTTGATCGAGTGTCGCTCTTTTTTGTTAGATGTGTATAGACGGAGACTTCGTTTTATTCAATTCTTTTCCTTTAGCCGCGATTTTTATCGAGCGTTCCTTAGTGTCTAATGATCTTATTAACGAGAGGGATGTTAACGTTCTTACGGATACACTCTCTAGATCGTAAGAATTGGGTGATTGACGGAGAAAATAAGGGAGGTGATCGAATTGTCGGATATAGAAATGACGTACTATTTATTCGAAATACGGAACAAGAGGGCGAGAAACGCGTACAAGTAAAGAAAGAGCGGAGGTGTATGTAGAAAGAAAGAAAGAAAAAAAAAAGAAAAAAGAAAAAAAAGACAAAAGAAAAAAAGAAATACAAAAAGTAACTTTTCAAAGGGACAAAAAGATTGATATTTTCTCGAGTTATAATTACTGTGATGACACTGGCCTGCTCATCTCTGTTGCACTTTCTTCCAATTATTCGAGCAGTTACAAAGAGTTGCGTAAAATAAGAAAAAAACAAAAAAAAAAAAAAACGATAAAAAAAAAAGAAGAAGAAGAAGAACGAAGAAGATAAAGATAAAGATAAAAATACGAAAACCCTGTAAAACACATTCGTGAGGTACTCTGAATATGTACACGTGCATACATAGACATGTATACTCGTTTCGTTAGTCGCGCGTTGCCGTTCACACAGCGATTATTTTGTGTGTGTATGTGTGTGTGGCGCGCACGCGCGCCCCCCACGTACGTGTGTATGTATGCCCGCGCGCGCGCGCGTGTGTGTATGTGTGTGCATGTGTGTGCTTACGCCTGCGTGCGCGACGAAGTGAGCGAATGGGTTATATTTCACGGTGTGCGTGCGGCTCCGCGTGTTTTTTTTTTTTTTTTTTTTTTTCTCTCTTTGTGCGTGCGTGCGTGCGTGCGTGCGTGCGCGCGCTCGTAGGCACGCTTGTATGCGTGTGTGCGTAGTGAATTACGTCATATAGATAGATCATATGTGCTTTCTAATGATGAATAATTTTATAAATATAAATATAATATCGATCTCTCACGTGTACGTTTATTTTGGAAGTTCGCGCCTGGTCCGCGCGGGTTCGATCATTAAAACTGTAATTAGTTTTCATGTGCTTTATTTTCCTTTCGGATGTCACCGCACAACCGGATTGTCACTGATTATCCATTCCTTCAAACTTCGATCTTTCACCGATCCGATTTGGCCAAAGGTTCAAGTTGTTTTTTTTTTTTTTTTTTTTTTTGGTTCAAGTTTTTTTTTTTTTTTTTTTTTTTTTACTCTTGCATGAAACTGAAAGCACGTCGTCGTGTGTGATACACGTCAAGGGCACGTCAGTTTGAATAACTAATATATTTTCTTACTTAAAATAGCGATACATACATATATGTATATAAATATAAAATCAGAGTTGTCTCTTACTGTTACGCGCGATAGTTTTCCTTATATTTGTCTCTTACGGTTCTCTTCTAAATATGCATCAAGCATAAGGTCGACAGTTACACGTATATAATTATTATACAGAGTTATACAATGACTTTTAAATAGTGATAGATAGTAGCAGATTTTTTTTTTCATTCCAATCTTGGCACAATTTGAAGACAGAGAGGAAACGAAGAAGAGAATGTTTTCTTAAGCAAAGTTCAGAAGCAAATTAGTAAGAAAATTTTCTTAGGTCTCTTTCGTGTACGCGTGTATTCGTAAGTTCGCAGAAGGATTTAAATTGTGTCCATCGACTAACAAGGCAAACAGAAGCTTTCGTGTAAATACCTGTTATTTGAACGAGTAGGATAATTCCAAGCTTCCACTGTTTAATAGAAAAAAAAAAAAAAAGAATGTTGATCCGCGTTATTCTTTAAACTTTAACAATCGCGGAACAATTTTGTGAATTATTCTAATCTAGAGTGATTTAGAGAAAATTAATTTATAATTTATTCCAATTCTGTAAATTGTTAATTTAAATTTTCCTATCTAAAAAATAAATTTGTATATAATTATTCTTTTCAAAAAAAAAAAAAAAGAAAAGAATGACGAAAGAGACCGAGTCGAACAGAAAATTCGTAACGCCTCGCCTCTCGAGAATCGTCAGGCCATTTCGGCGTTCGGTAGCTTCTATAAAACGATCTTTATTCGATGTAAATACATAGACAAGTAAAGTGTTACAAGATAAAATAGCGATACATATGATACACTGAATTAACAGTTAATTTAAGACTCGATCGTTCGAACGCGGGTTCGATTGGCAGTTTCAGCGGGAGGACGTTCGTCCCCGTAGTCGTGTCGTATTTTTGGCATTAAAAACGACGAATGGTCCTTCGCGTTCCTCGACTACGCCATTATGTGGAACAGACTTGCGATAACTTAACTAACAGACTCGGAATATCTTGTTATATGTACACACGCACACAGACTCGCCAGTTTCCAGTGACGAAGAGTTTCGAAACACTTTGAACGTGACTCGAAGCCTCGATGAGCCCCGGAAGATCTCGATGTGCAAATAAAATTTTCACGTTTCACCGATATCCTCGAGGTGTTATCAGAGCCTATAGCGAAATGTGGTCTAGGCAGTTCGACGTGTGACACTCGTCACTGCTTGAATTTAGAATTTACGCGTTAAGGGACTTCCAAAACCATTCGCCCACTGGCAGCTGATTGCGGACCATAACGAGTGACCAATTCGTCGCTTTCTCTCTGAACTCGTCTCGGTACGTATATCGGTGGACAGAAACGACAAATCTATTGTTTGTTACTTGCCAATTTTCTTTCGTTTGAATATACTGGAAATACATCGCAATTTTGGGAAACAAAAAAATTCCACGACGTGCGCGGCAACCTTTAAGGTTAAAGCGTTAATCTTTTCACTGAGGCGCACTTTCGGAGCGAACCATCAGTTATAGACGGGCGCGATATTCTACTGTTAGACGTTGCGACTAATATAATAGCGTATAGATACGCCTTTCGTGTATACGGACCGACTTGTGAGGGCGTATATATACACGCCTTTAGCAGTGAAAGTGAATTAAATCCCGCGGTTTTAACTAGCTCCCGAGAACTTCAGACGTTCGAATGTACGTCAAAAGTGAATGACGAATCCCTCTCTCTCGATCGTTGCTTTTAAGCAACCGTTTCCTGCGGCGACTCTGTCGTCCGCTCGGGTTTACGTAGTCTGCCTTTCCTTCGATATTGATACGGCACGCGTCTGTTCGGCCCTCTGGTTCTTCCTACCGGGCCCAACCTCTGGTACTGATAGTTCGGATAATAACGTTGGCTCTGTTGTTGCTGTTGCTGTTGCTGTTGCGAGTACGGGTACTGAACGTTGCCGACTTGCTGCTGCTCCCTCTGACCGTTCGGCGTGAATGGCCTCGGCACTCGGCCGACGTCTTGGCGATGATCTTCGGTGACCCGTCGTCGAAGGCACACCGCGCAACGACTCACCCGCGACGTGTGGTCGGTTTTCAACGTCTGTGGTATCGGCCTGCGGAACATGTCGCCGTCCTTGATGATTGTCAGCCAGAAGGACGTGGCAGTGGAGTAGTAGTTGCACGTGCCGAAACCGTGGCACTCGATGAACGGTCGGACGCGGAATTCCTCGAGGCAGGAACCGGGCGAGACCAGCGACTGGCCGTATCCGCGTCCCCCTGCGTCTCGATGCTGAAAATTCGTTGCTCGTTTAAGGGCTTTATTTATGTTCTTTTTATCTGTCTGCAGGTTCTCCTTTTTTTTTCTCTTTCTGCAGATGATACTCGTCATTTTGCGCTGTAAATTGACCCTTTTATCAGATCGTGTTCACTCTTTCTTTTTGCAAATCAATGTGTTTCTCTGCAAATTTGTTTCCATTTTGTTGTGAAAAATAATATCCGGCGACAAGTTGTTACTCCGGAATCAAAATTTTATTGCACTTAAATAACGTCTGATATTAAAGTAAGTGGATATGGACATTACGTAGATTCATCTATAATGGTTCATTTATAATGGCCACTGAGCAGGCTAGTTTTATATACATATTAAATTACTGTAATAATTGTGACAAATCTGTAGGAGTGACAGTTGATTACAACAACAGAATGATTGAAAGCATCTACCAAATGTTCATGATTTAGAAAATTAGTTAAAGTATATTGTGCAAAGTATCAGTTGGCCGGCTTTCAACTGCTAGCTCGCACAAGTAATTAATGTTAGAACTACCAAAACGGTCGAAATGACTAATTTAGAATTTTTCATGGAAAAATTTTATAATTTGTAAATTTGTAATAGTGGATTTTCAGTAAAATATATAAATAGGAGCCTGTTCCTTTTATTTTCATTCTCACGCTTTGATCATCGGTAGTGTTAAATCACTAAAAAAAAAAAAAAAAAAAAAAAAAAAAACAAAACGACGAAATAGTGTTACTTTACTTCAATAGTGAGTAAGTTTATCTGCAAAAGGTGAATTCGATCTGCAAAAGGATTAAATCTGGATGAGATGACGTCGTGTACTTACCATGAGGAAGCTGTATCCGATCCAAAGTTCTTCCCAACCACCGGGACACTCTGGTATAGCCATAGATTGACTGTGGACAGCGATCACGCGAGTCGAGGCCTCGCAGACGGAGCATCTTGAGAGGTATCTTCCGACTTCCGGCGCTGGTATCGGCGCCATCGACATCGGCATAGGTTCTGTCGTGCTCAGCCAGTAGCTGTAGTCGTTCTTATTCGCGTAGTCGCACACATTTTGCAAAGTACAGAATGTGAAAGGCATGGTGGAGAATTTCCTGAGACAGCTTCCGGCCGTGCCTGGAAATTAAATCATCATAAGTTAAATCATCGTGCGTGTATACTTTATAATACATATTGTAATGTTTCTAATAAAACAATATAATACAATACATATTGTAATAATATAACAATGGAATATACAATATATAATAATATATTAATAATGATTAACAATAATACTTATATATCAATTAATTATTAATAATAATAGTCAATAATATTGATATATTAATATTAGTAACAATGATTAATAATGATATATTAATATAATATAATAGAGTCTTTATTCAGTATATACTATGATACTATAAGGTATTTATAGTATTTAATTATGTTGTATATGTAATGTATTTATTGTAAATACAACAATTTATGTTCTGTATTGTATATTGCATATACAATTCCTATTTTTACATTTTGCATTGTAATTTATGTTATATTTATTGTACAATAAATATAAATTCATAATTTACAAATAGTGCAATAAATACAAATTTGTAATTTGCATTCATTGTACTGCTTTTATCTTGCAAGTAGAGCGCTTGTTCCAAGATTTCTTAGCGGGGCTGTTTCATAATTTATTTAACTACAAGGTATTCGAATTATTGGGAAGTTTTTCAAACACCCGATCTCTTTCTTACCAAGATCCTGCCCGTAGGAATATCCTTCGCCCATTATATGCAAAAACGAGAAACCGTCCCAAAGTTTCACCGTGTTCTGCGGGCACACTGGTATCATTTCGGATTGCGAGTGTCTGGCGAAGAAGAAACCTCTGTTTCGAGGGCCTGGCGCTGGTGGTGCAGGAGCCCCTCTTACTCCAGGTGGTCCTACGAATTAAAAATTTATCGTATTTACGGCTCGTACGTGACAGATTATATTTTTATGCGTTAAGAATTTATTATTTTTGTATAACATTTATAATATTATAATATTTGTATAATTTTTATATAATTTTTGTATAATATTTACAATAGTAATTGTAATATTATTAAGAAAAATTATTTTCAATTTTTAAATTTATAATTTTCAATTTAAATTGATTAAAAGTTTATAAATATTTCATTACAAAAATATTTTTTTTAGATTTAATTTTCAACATAACTTCGTTTATTTAATCTTAATTTATATATATATATAAAATTATACAAATATATGTAACTAAAAATTTAAAATATATAAATATACATTTTATTAAAAGTAAACAACAACAATTTAATATATTTAAATATAGATTTTATAATTCTTAAATAAATATGAAATTATTCATCAAAAACGATTTTTTGAAATTCTATCTTCTGACATTATTAAACTACCAAACTAATCTAACGAAAACGGACGAGAGGCTTATTATATTGTTAACAAGTTCCTTACCCGGAAGTCCTTGACGTCCAACCGCGCCACGAGCTCCAGGGAAACCAGGGGGGCCATCCTTGCCGTCTGGCCCCGGGAAACCTGGAAGCCCTATCATCCCGGGTTCTCCCTCCAATCCGGGAACTCCGTCTTCTCCTGGTTCGCCTACCTTCCCTTGAAGCCCAGGGAAACCTGCGCGAAAGATCGTTCGTGTGACTCTTGGATGTCGTTGTTTCGTACAATGTCGTTGTTTGTTACGATACCTGGCAGTCCTGGAAGTCCTTCATCTCCCGGTAAGCCTTTCCTTGGGAAAGGCGAGAAGGGGTTAATACCACGATCTCCTTTCGGCCCCTAAAACGTATGTGCAGAGAATTCGTGTAAATTCTCTAAAAAATTCACTCGCGGGTATATAAGTCGCACGTTTGTTCGAATGTTTAATATTACTAATAATAATATATTTATTATATTATATATATTATATATATTATTATATATATTATATATATTATTATATATATTATATATATTTATTATATTATTACTAATAATAATATAATAATTAATAATACACACACACACACACACATATTATTATTACTATAGTATATATATTAATATATTATATTATAATACATTAATATATAGTATATATATATATAGTATATTATAATATATAGTATAATATATAGTATATATTAATATATTATAATATATTATCTATATTATATTATACATACATGTACTATTAGATATATATAAAAAATATATAATACTATATATATAATATTCGCTAGACATACTTATAGGGTGGTCATTGAAAGACTGAATGACATAAAACAAAAATAACTTTTACAAGTACACGTTTCTTAAATATTTTATGATTCTATTTACTCGGTTGTTGGAAATCATCATACGTTGAAATCATACATAAATTTTAACCTACAGAAAAGGATGGAACTAAAAAAGATTGGAAATGAACAGGTTATGACCTTTTCAAACCCTTCAGTTTTTCACTGGCCACTCTATGTTCCGTTTATTATACAAATATTCTTTTGAATGTCGAGATTATACGTCGGGATGAATGTAAATAATCGAAACAACTGACTTTTGGTCCTGGAGGTCCTGGCGGGCCAGGTGGACCCTCGCTTCCGTCGTCGCCGGGTTCTCCTCTTGGTGCAGGCGCACTTGGGAGTCCAGGGTAACCTGGCTCACCTTTTTGCCCGCGTTCTCCTTTCCTACCAACGAATCCAGGCAATCCTGGCTCTCCTTCAGTTCCTTTAATCGAGATACCAGGCAATCCAGCGTCTCCTGTGTCGCCTTTCTCTCCCGATGGTCCGACAATTCCCTCCAATCCATCCAGTCCTGGAGCTCCAGGGTAACCATCGAAACCTACTGGACCTACATGCACGAAAGAAGAAATATTTTAATCAAATATTTGTTTGTCTGATTAGAATTATAATTTAATTAATATCTAATTACGTCGAAAAGTATTATTACGAATAAATATTATGTTATTATAATATATATAATATATATATATTTATATTATTATATAATATATACATTTATATTATTATAATGTTTCTATTGTAATTTATATTATAATATATATAATATATACATTTATATTATTATAATGTATATAATATATATAATAATTATATATAAATATTTAATATTATATAAAAGTATTATTATGAAGTGAATATTATATTATCGACAGAGAAATACTAACTAATATTGTAATAAGAAGTAAGAGAACTGACATGCTTTGGCATAATATCACGTTTTGACACATTTCTCACACAGAGGCGTAAGCGTTCGCAGTTGTACGAATTTTCTTCGAACAATAAATCGGAAATTAAATAATTAGGAGAGGAGAATAATCACCTTCGTCTCCTGGAAGCCCTTTCGGACCGCGTATGCTGATACCGATATCTCCTACAATTCCTTTAGGACCATTGTATCCGTACTCGCCGGGCGCACCTTTTTGTCCATGAATTCCTGGAATACCGGGCAGTCCATCTAACCCGGGTACACCATCTTCACCTGGCTCAACGTACTCGGCAGTTAATCCTGGAGAACAAGTATGCGCATAAGTACACGCAGACATTTACTTGCAATTATCCACGTACAATATATATATTTAATATATAATAAAAATATAATATTATAATATTTATTAATATTTATAATATTTAATATAATATAATATTTATTAATATTTATAATATTTAATATAATATTATAATATTTATTAATATTTATAATATTTAATATAATATTATAATATTTATAAATAAATATTATAAGTAAATGTGACAAGTATAATTATTATAATACTTGTGTTTCATATTTTTCACATTTACTTATAATATTTATTTCTACCATTGATGAAATGTTAAAAGTAAAATTAACACAATAAAAATAATCAACTAAAAAGTTGAGAAACGTGATTCGCGTTTTTTTCTTTTTTACCTGGGAAACCTTGAGGTCCTTGATCGCCGGGAAGACCCGGGAAACCTGGCAAACCTGGGAATCCATCAAGTCCAGGTAATCCAATATTACCTTCCATGCCCTGTAACATTATTATTATATAAGAAATTTATCGATCAGTTTTGAAATGGGAGATAAATTGTACATACAAGGTGAACTGTGCTCGCTTCATTTTCAAGGAATGAAACATTTTTAATAATAAATCCGCGAAGAATGACTTTTTTGAAGGTTACTCGCGTACCTTGCCTTTACCTTTCTTAACTTTTTTAATAATAAACTTTATGAAGAATGCCCCATTTTTAATTAATAACCTTTTACTCACGTACCTTTCGTCCAGGCAATCCCGGGAAACCAGGTTCACCTCGCATTCCCTTTTCACCTTGCAAGCCATTGAGACCAGGAATACCAAAGTCACCCCTCTCCGCTGTGCCGTACGATGGCGGACCCGGTTCACCAACCATTCCTTTGGGCCCTGGCGCGCCCATTAAACCGGGGAACCCTCTAGGGCCCGGATCGCCAGGCATTCCTCGAGTAAAATAATAAAATTCACATGTGAATAATTCCAAATAATTCCCTCTCCTTCGTGTGCTCTTATTCTTGTAATTTCAAATACGAGAGAAGCATGGACTTGAATTTTGAAATCTTACTCGTATATTATACTTCTCTCATATACAATCTCACTTTTATACTTTTATACTTTTATACTTGTATACTTTTATACCTTTATGCTCTTACACTTTTATATTTTTATATTTTTATACCTTTATATTCTTGCACTTTTATACTTCTATACTTTTATACTTTTATACTTCTATACTTTTATACTTTTATACTTCTATACTTTTATACTCCTACACTTTTATACTTCTATACTTTTATACTTTTATACTTTTATACTCTTATACTTTTATACTTTTATACTCTTACACTTTTATACTTCTATACTTTTATATTTTTATACTCTTATACTTCTATACTTTTATACTTTTATACTTTTATACTTTTACACTTTTATACTTTTATACTTTTACACTTTTATACTTTTATACTTTTATACTCTTACACTTTTATACTTCTATACTTTTATACTTTTATACTTCTATACTTCTATACTTTTATACTTTTATACTTTTATGCAGAGTGGTCACTAAAAAATTGAGGGTCGTAACTTGTTAATTTTAAATATTTCTTATCTTCTCTTTTTGTAGGTTACAGAGCATCTCTTGGAGATTAAAAATACTGGAAACAAATCCATTAACTATATTTCCAAATGAAATGATAGAAAATTGAAAAAATACTTGTTTGTAAAAGTTATTTTGGCTTTATATCATTCAGTGACCGCTGTATACTTTAGGAAGGTAAAATAATCTCGAACGTAAGTGGAGAACTTACCTGGTAAACCCATTCGACCTGGATCGCCATCCAATCCCCTTTTACCTTTAGGCCCGTCGTAACCAGGCGGCCCTATCGGGCCTCGTTCACCCTTCACGCCGTGGAAACCATGAATACCAAGTGCCCCGGGCCTACCCTTCAACCCCCAATCTCCTCGCGGCCCTTTCAAGCCATCCGGACCCATGTCACCTACCTCTCCCTATATCAAACGAACAAACACAATTAATTGCATCAAAATTTTTCCATCCAATTTAAACGATCCCAGTGTATAGCAACTTTACTCTGGATTTTGTTCTAAATGTAATTTTGCAACAAGTTATATTACCTCTAAATCTTATTTCGTCTATCACGAATGAAATCGTAAAATATAAATTAACTGGATTAATTAATTGCACAAATCTTTCTATCCAATTTAAATGGATTCCAATGGACAGCAACTTTACTCTGGATTTTGTTCTAATGCAATTTTGCAACAACTTATATTACCTCTAAATCTTATTTCGTCTATCACGAATAAAATCGTAAAATATAAATTAACTGGATTAATTAATTGCACAAATCTTTCTATCCAATTTAAATGGATTCCAATGCACAGCAACTTTACTCTGAATTTTGTTCTAATGTAACTTTAAGCAATAATTTATAACGTTTACGCTGCTATAGTGCGATGCAAATCTACTATATATATATATATATATACTGCTCATAAAAATTAGGGGATATTTCAAAATGAATATGAAGCGATAAAAAAAAAGTAACAAACGACGTAATATCTTCTGATCTGTTCTTGTTTAATAAAAAAAAAAAAAAAAAAAAAAAGAAATCAAGTGCTTCGTATTCGTTTTGAAATATCCCCTAATTTTCGCGAACAGTGTAGCTTCTAACCATCGGTCGTCACTAAGAAACTTACTTTCAGCCCGGCTAGCCCGTTGAAACCGTCGAAGCCAATTTCACCTTTCTCCCCTTTCGGTCCAGGCTTGCCATTTATCGATATTGCCGGTTCACCAGGTATACCGCGTCGTCCGTCCATGCCCGGCGTACCGGGAGGCCCGATCTCTCCCATGAAACCAGGCTCGCCAATGTCACCTTGCGGCCCGCTGAACGCGTTTTCACCGGGCGGCCCGTCCAAACCATCTGGCCCGATGTCTCCAGGGATGCCCTTTGGACCAGGTAGTCCCATAATGCCAACGATACCCTCGGGTCCAACGTCTCCCGGTTCTCCCTTGGCTCCTAACGTTCCGGATATCCCTTCGAGGCCAGGCCATCCGGGCGGGCCGGACTCGCCGATCTCGCCAATGTCACCTTTCGGCCCCGGTGGACCAGGCAGACCCGCGACACCGTCTCTTCCCAAGTAGCCCATCGGTCCAATGTCACCCTCCTCGCCGCTGCGCCCCTTGAGACCGATCTCTCCCTTCAGGCCCTTCATCCCGTCGAATCCCAACGTTCCGTAGGAACCTGGAGGAGGGAGCAGAGATTTTTTTTCAATCATCTCGCAGAAACGAAGAGAACGCGACATAATGATAGTGTCGAAATATGTCCAAACTGTGGAGTATACCGTGAAGTCTATTTACAATTTGAAAAATTTATCACGAAGGCAGATGAAGAGACACGGATGAGTGGAGATCGTGATACGAAGTGAGACGTATGTATTTAAGTTTTTCCAATTGAAATTTTAGGTTTCCACATATTTTTTGTTCAATTGTATTCGCGATAATACAACGGATCGAATTTTCTCGGTGGATTCGAATTTCTTTTCCGTGCATTTCGATTAATTTTTTCCCATGTTCTTCTCGTGTATACATATATTTCTGATTATGTTGAATTACGCGCGCTGGAATTATTTCGATCCATCATACACATGTATATGTTTCAATTCTTATTCGGCTTTGTGTTAATATCCTCAGATATTATAAACAACCAATTTTTAAAAAAAAACGAACGGTCAAGTAGGTGAAATATCATCGCTATCGAGAATTCGTAAAGTTTGGATTTGCCTGGCTCTTGCCGATGGGAATCCACCTATCGCAAAAGAGCTTTCATTTATCGCGCGTTACGACTAATCCTTGTCTACAGTCGCCCATGAATCCGCGGAGACTCGCTCGATCAAATTTCTCTCACGCGTTTGAAACTTGAAATCGGATGTCGATCGCGATTCCAGTGATAATTCGTCATCTTTAAATGCGAAATGGAAAAATTGAAGAACCTCCGCTTCGCGTGGAGTGAAACGTTTGCAGGATAAAAGCTCGTTATAGCATAGGCACTGAATTTAATTCTAATCTTTTAACGTATTTAAAGTATTCTAATCTTCTAACTATTTAAACTATTCCAATTTTTTAACTATTAAACAGCCACAATCTAGTTATGTAGCTTTGTCAGTTTAAATTAATCAAAGAAAGTAATTATTTTATTATTATTATGTAATTATTTAATTACAATTATATAATTATTTAATTATAATTATAATTAGTTTAATTATTTAATTATAATTATAATTATTTTAATTATTCAATTATAATTATTTTAATTATTCAATTATAATTATTTTAATTATTTAATTATAATTATTTTAATTATTTAATTATAATTATTTGAATTATTTAGTTTTACGTACATTATAATTATTATAATTATTTAGTTTTATGTACATTATAATTATTATAATTATTTAGTTATACGTACATTATAATTATTTTAATTACTTGAATTATTAATTACTAGTTATACGTACATTATAATTATTTCAATTATTTAGTTATACATACATTATAATTATTTCAATTATTTAGTTATACGTACATTGTAATTATTTTAATTATTTAGTTATACGTACATTATAATTATATTAATTATTTAGTTGCACGTACATTATAATTATTTTAATTATTTAATTATACGTCAATTATAATTATTTAATTATAACGTAGTTTTTCCTTAAATTAATAAAAATCAGGCGATCGTACCTGGTCTACCGATTTCTCCCATTCGCCCGGGCATTCCAGGTTGTCCAGGTATTCCAGGGAAGCCTCTAACTCCCTGAACGCTGTCGCCTCGTTGACCTTTGGCTCCCTGTTGATCAATGTTAAATCTCGAGGATCTCAAATATTGTACATACATATAATCAAATCGTCGTTCTCTGATTAAGAATCAGTGCAATTGTACCTGAAGTCCGGGCAGTCCTTCCGAACCAGGAGCTCCTTTGCCACCTTTCACGCCTTTCACTCCATCCAATCCGGGCCTACCCTGCAAACCTCTAGGTCCAGCGTCGCCGATGTTTCCTTTATCACCGGCCCAACCAGTTAATCCGTAATCGCCGTACGTCTGATTTGATCCCGGGTCTCCGCGATCTCCCTTGTTACCTAAGCGACCCTATAAACAGTCAATAATTTTTAATTAAGTTCAGCGAGAAAGGAATTAGAGTTCATCATAATCATTTGAAGAAACGAGATCTCCACTTTGTAACAAACCCTTGAAACTTTTCCCCTACGATTTTTATTTCTCACCATTTCGTCGAACGACAAAAATTCAGGAAATTTCCCATCTCGTCGTCTAACCCTTGCGTTCCAAGTTCCACAGTTTAACAAATGTTCGTACAGCGAATTTTAGGGTCTTGTTGTAAAAGGGAAATTTCAATCTTCAAGAATTGACTGTGACGGGTTTAGTGACGTAAAAGAAATTCTTCTCTAATGTCCTTAATTGTGTTTGCAACGTGATGCAAATTTTAAAAAAGAAGGAAGCTCTATATAGGAACTGAGATTATATGGTCTTTTCCTTTTTTTACAAAATTGTATCAATTTGAATGATTTGAACATCTTTTCATTATCCAATTATGGCACAATTATGTTCTTCATTCTTGTATTTCATAACAGCCAATTGGAAAATTGTCAAAGATATAATTTATAAAGGTTATTAATATATATATATATATTAATAATTATAATATAATTAAATACATTATAGTATTAAATTTAATATTATAATAACATAATTATAACAATATTATAATATTAAATATATTATAAAGACATAATTTATAAAGGTTATTAATATATATATATATAAATAATTATAATTGAATATATTATAATATTAAATGTAATATTATAATAACATAATTATAACAATATTATAATATTAAACATATTATAATTACAATATTTATAATATAATTATATATAATATTATGTTATATATATTGTATTATATTATATATAATATACATAACATAATATTATATATATTATTATATTATATATTATATATTAATATTATATATAATATTATATATATTGTATATAATTATATTATAAATATTATAAATATATAATTTATAAAGGTTGATGTTTTCTGTACACATACCGAGAAACCGACAGGTCCTTGAGACCCTGGTGTACCCGGTGTTCCACGAGGACCTTGATCTCCAGGCATGCCGGGATAACCCTTCAAACCTTCAGGACCTTGCAGCGATATGCCGCGGACTCCAGGAAGTCCCGGTAGTCCCTGATATCCTTCGTCACCGGGCCATCCTTGCTCTCCTTTCTCACCATCCCTCCCTACAACGTAAAATCATTTCGAGTGTTCGTAAAACATCGAAGAATTTACGCCAGTTAATTATGAAAGTGTTCTAAATTAAGAATTTATTGTCAGTCATTTCGCGTTTCACGTTCGTTCAAAATAAAAAAATAATCTGACGTAATTTCAAAGAAGTAACAATTGAAATATTTCAAATCACTCAAGGCTGAAAATCCCATTTCCGAGGGGTGAGAAGGAAAATCAAAAATGATGAAAATTAATCACTTAGAAACGTGATTGTAAAACGTGAATTAATAGATTTAATTAAAAAAATTTTTTTTTAATAATAAAATTATATAATTCGTTGTTGCAAGTCAGTTTTGAGACATTCAGTTAATTTTGAAAATGGTCCAAGTATCATTTCAAGCATTTCAAAAATCATATTTCTTTACAAGTTACAAAATTTTACAGTCGTGATAAATTCTCATCTTACCAGATCAAATATTTCCTGAAATATTTGGTTTCGTAGTATAAAAATATTTTTCAATTTACATTTATATGTTTTTTTATATATATTTTTACATTTTTTAAATTTATATCTACATTAATACTTTCGTAGTATAAAAATATTTTTCAATTTATATTTATGTATTTTATATATATATATTTACATTTTTTAAATTTATATCTATATTAATACTTTCGTAGTATAAAAATATTTTTCAATTTATATTTATATATTTTATATATATATATATATATATTTACATTTTTTAAATTTATATCTACATTAATACTTTCGTAGTATAAAAATATTTTTCAATTCATTCAAACGCAAACTTTCAAATATCTCGAAAACGAGAAATACATGACTTGGGCCACTTTCATAATTGCTACCTTAACGATTCGATACTTCGAGATTTGAGAGAAAGACAAAAATAAAAAAAATAAAAGATCGAAACATCACATTTTGTGTTTTGTTATTTTTGCGGGCGTTGTTGAATCTTTTTAGATAAGATCGTTGGCCTTTTTTATTTAGGATTATACTCACCTATATCGCCTCGTATTCCTTTGTACCCTTTGTCTCCCTTCAGATTTATAACCGGCGGTGGATAAGATTCGCCGGTTTCACCTTTTCCTCCTTTTTCACCCTTCCCGCCCTTCACACCCGGACTTCCCGGGAAACCCGGCACACCTCGCAGAAACACGACCGGTATCGACGCGTTGTCACCTGGCAAACCTGGGATACCATCGAACGCGGGGAAACCATCGCTCCCTGGCAATCCTGCAGGACCATGATCACCCTGAAAGCAAACGAAACGCCCTTTATTCTCAGAGAAAATCAACACGTTCCGTGCAGTGCCGATTTTTCGTTACGTTCCTTTTACATCGCGTTTAGAGACTATTACGATTAATAATATTACTTCTGAAGTAATAAATAATGCTTACAGTTTTCACAACAATGCAAAAGATATAATTGTGAAGAAAATTGTCTGGAGTTTAAGGTGCAGAGCAAAGCAATAAATTGAATTTTAAGGTATTATTTTGGCGAACAATGTTTCAGTGATGTCGAAATTAATTTGAAATCAATATTGGAAGATTTTGTTCCGAATATTTTTAGTGTTATTGTTTATGTGGTAAATAATAATGGATGATATTAAATAATAATAATTTATTGTATAGATTATACGATACGAAGGAAGAAAGAAGAAGAAATTTCTCAAGACAGTTCTGAGTCAACTGACACTCAACAATTCACATAATTCGAATTCACGTAAATTCGACTTCTCATTGCTTCTTACGCAAGTTCAAAAAAATGGTGGTGGATGTTATTTTTTCCAGAGATTGAAACTCAACTCTTGTATATGATACTAGTGCATGTTCACGATTGCTTTAAATTCAACCGGTATCATACGTTAGAAGGATGTAATTAACAAAATTTCGTGTTAAATTTGAATGATTATTTCCAATGCTGATGTCAATTAGTTGTTTCAGTTAGTATAGTACCAATTATATATAATATAATATAGTATATTATAGTATAGTTTATAACAATAGTATAGTACCAATTTATAATATAATATAGTACCAATATATAATATAGTATATTATAGTATAGTTTATAACAATAGTATAGTACCAATTTATAATATAATATAGTATATTATAGTATAGTTTATAATAATAGTATAGTACCAATTTATAATATAATATAGTACCAATATATAGTATATTATAGTATAGTTTATAATAATAGTATAGTGCCAATTTATAATATATAATATAATATAGTATATTATAGTATAGTTTATAATAATAGTATATAGTATATAGTATAGTATATAGTATATAGGTTAGTACATAGTATATAGTACAGTATAGTATCAATAATATAAATAATATATATATTATAATATAATATATAATATATTATATAATATATATAGTATTAGTGCCAATTTAAAGTGATGCTGGTAAATGGCACAAAGAAAGTTTGCCGAGAGCAAAGGATTAATAACAAACTTGTCTCAATAAACTCGAACAACCCTAACTGCAGCAGTTCGAATTTTTCCATCGCTTTTTAACTTTTCAAAAGAGGTCGAAAGATCAAACACGTGCTACGGACGAACAGACCGTGTTACGAAAAAAATATTGACCGTCGCCGAAAGGAATCCGTCGGAGAAAGTTGTCGGCGAGGCAAATGAAAAATATCCATTGTTACTTACCTTCTCTCCCTTAGGTCCTGGAGCGCCTGTGTCACCGCGAATGCCAGGCGATCCTCGCGAACCCCGCGGTCCTTCGATGCCAGGGTAACCCTTGTCGCCAACGTCGCCAGGCAGTCTGGTCATCGGTCCCGGAAGTATCAATTTCCCCGTTTCACCCTTTGGTCCTTGAGGGCCAGCGATTCCTGGCCGACCACTGTCACCTTCCAATCCTCTTGGGCCCATCACACCTCGTTTACCCTGCACGCCTTTGAACCCGCGCGGTCCAGGCAGTCCTGGGTAGCCCGGCGTTCCGGGATATCCGTCGAGACCGGAATCACCGGGTTCACCCTTCTTACCAGGCAGCCCTGCAACGAAACCGCGAGTGAACTTTCGATTTTCCATTGAAATCGACGACTGATTTTATTCTTGTATTAACTGTACCATTGTCATTATTACTTGTATTAGTATTATTATGATGATGATTATTAGTATTATTATATATTAGTATTATGATGATTATTGGTGTTAGTATAATTAGTATTATTATATATCAGTATTATGATGATTATTAGTATTAGTATTATTAGTATTATGATGATTATTAGTATTGGTATTATCAGTATTATTGTATATTAGTATCATGATGATTATTAGTATTAGTATTATCAGTATTATTATATATTAGTATTATGATGATTATTAGTATTAGTACTATTAGTATTATGATGATTATCAGTATTAGTATTATTAGTATTATGATGATTATTAGTATTAGTATTATTATATATTAGTATTATGATGATTATTAGTATTAGTATTATTAGTTTTGTTATATATTAGTATTATGATGATTATTAGTATCAGTATTATTAGTATTATTATATATTAGTATTATGATGATTAATAGTATTATTATTATTACTACTATATACTGTACCAGGGTAGGCATTTCTTTTGCGAAAGTTAGCGTAGAATGAGAAATAGGAGAGAAAATAAAGCAACTTTATTATATTATTACGAAAAGGTCATACAGATTTGTATAGTAAACGAAATAAAATAAATAGTAACGAGAATATGTAAAATAAATGATAACAAGAATATTTAATAATTTTCTTTCACATGGTATTGTTACGAGGTTTTAAAGATTTGTATATTAAAAAATATACTAAAAAACAGTAAAGTTTTAGTATATATACTGTTTAGTATATATAAAAATTTAGTTTAGTATATATAAAAATTGAAATAAATAATAACGAGAATATTTAAAATAAATCATAACAACAACATTTAATAATTTTCTTTCATACGGTATTATTATGAAGAGGTTTAAAAAATCTTGTATACTAAAAAATATACTAAAAAATGTAAAAAAGTTTTTCAGTATATATATCTATCTATCTATTTATCTATCTATCTATATATATATACTGTAAAAATTGAAATAAATAACAACGAGAATATTTAAAATAAATGATAACAAGAACATTTAATAATTTCCTTTCACATGATATTATTACGAAGAAGGTTCTAAAAATTGAAATAATAAAATTAAAAATATCATTTCTTTTTTTTGTACTTCAACGTGTTTGAATACTCCTGTCACGAGTAATAATAATAATAATAACAATAATAATAATAATAATAATAATAATAATAATAATAATAATAATAATAATAATCGTTCGACTTTGCAATTGAAATCTGGACAGAGTAGGCGCGGATTATTCACCTTCTCCGACAGATTTGTTTCAAGTGCTTTCAGTCTTTCGCTAGTTCTCGCAGTAAATAGCGTCTGACGGCTTTTAGACGGGCGTCGCGTCCTTTTCGGAGGGTGCTCGAAAGAGTCTCGGTGGTATCGGTGAGTCTCTAGATGCCTGATGAAGCTACGCTAACAAGGACCAACGACTTTAAACGCCGTCTACCACCGGTTGTCTCCTCCGTCGTGTTCCGCCGTTTGAGAACACGAGAACGAGGAGGATGTCGCAGCGAGAAGGAAATAACATTAGCAACGAGCAAGGAGATCAAACGGTTCTCAACAACGGGACGGGAAAACTCGACGCTTTGTGACTTGACACTTTGCGTCGGAAATTGCAAAAGACCTTGGAGAAACGAAACGATGTCGAATTTATATTTATACATTTTTCATCTGGAATTCTCTCTGTCGATTTGTTGCATTTATTATGTTCTGTCTAGGGATGAAACACGCCTGGACATTCAAATGCAACGTTCAATCATATCGCAACTATAAACGCATCGAGGCTCCATAGATGAGATAGAGGTGTGCAAGATTAATGACTGATAAGTGCACGTTATTTATTATCAGACGCGATAACGTCTGCGTGTAACCCTATTGCGAGTTGAAGATACAGCAATAACTGTCCACCGTTCTTACCGTTCAAGATCTCATCATCATTAGTCACGCTAGTAAGCTGATATTGTCTCGACAGTGGGAAATGGAGCGGAGCCATAGAATAATGTACCATTAGAGGGCAGAGAGAGATTCTCGATATGGTGTTGAAACATAATGCCGAGGTTCAACGTCCCACACGTGTCAAAATAATTCACAGTTGACAAAACTGTATGTGCTTTAAGATTTCTTAATTTCTTGCCACGCACGTCGAGAACTTTTTGTCCCAAACTTTTTGCAGCATTTCCTCAGTTTTAAGTAAGTATAACCCAGGCAAAACAAATAATAAATTATATCGTATTACGAGTAAATTTATTAAATAATAAAATTACTAATATGTCGGTGAAATTTAGCCTCGATGGAATGATTGATCAACGATGGTAAAGATGATTTAAAAAAAAAAAAAATTGACATCTTTATTCGATCGGTGACTGTTTCTTATTGAACGTCTTCTGTCTTTCGACACTTCGTAATCGGTTTGTTTCAAATATCTTCGCAATTGTTGAAATTAAGTTATTAAAATACTTTAGTATCGTCATAGATTTTAAGAGCCGACGAAAAATACTTTTCCCCCTTTCTTGGTTGATCGATGCAACATGTACGTACCTGGCGCACAGACACCGCAGTCGTCTCCTGCAAAACCTTTCACACCCTTGGGCCCTGGCCTACCGGGCCATCCATCGGGTCCGGGGAGTCCCGGTAATCCTGGCAGACCACGTTCGCCCTGAGGACCTCCTATCCTGCTTCCTTTCCCCGGGAAACCTTTCGGACCTGATCAATCGAAACGCGTAATAAATTAATATCAACGACGTGGAATTAAATCAACGTCAAGAGTATATTTCACTTAAATTTCTCAATTCTCTGACTTTTGTTTTGCGAGAAACAATTGCCAGATAATAATAATAATAATTGTAGTAAAATAATAACAATAATATATAATATAATATAAAATAAATATATATAATATAATATAAAATTAACATAATATAATATATAATAATGTAAATAAATAATAAAAAATAATATATAATATACAATACAATAATAATTTTATATAATAATATAATATAAAAATAATAATAGTAGTAAAATAAATAATAGTAAAATATGTGAATAATAAATATATAATATAATATAATATAAAAATAACATAATATAATATATAATAATAATAAATAATAAATAATATATAATATAATAATAATGTTATATAATAATAGAGTATAAAAGTAATAATAATAGTAGTAAAATAAATAATAGTAAAATATATGAATAATAAATATATAATATAATAGAATATAAAAATAACATAATATAATATAATAATAATGTTATATAATAATATAGTATAAAAGTAATAATAATAGTAGTAAAATAAATAATAGTAAAATATATGAACAATAAATATATAATATAATATAATATAATAATAACATAATATAATATATAATATAATATAATGTAATAATAATGTGATATAATAATATAATATAAAAAATAATAATAATAGTAGTAAAATAAATAATAGTAAAATAGTAAATATAGTAAAATAAATAATAAATGATACATTTTTAATAAAAATTTTCATTAATTAGTATTTCGATAGTCTGTCGATCAATAATCAACGTGTAAAAGAAGAAAAAAAGAGTACCTTGGGAACCAGGATCACCGCGATCTCCAGGTAATCCAGGAATGCCTGGGTATCCAGGTTTCCCATCGATGCCTGGTGGGCCGCTTATCGTTATTCCGGGCAATCCTTTTGGACCAACGGGGCCGGATATGCCCGATAAACCTGGTGGACCTTGCAAGCCCATCTCTCCGGTAAGACCTTGAAAAAGAAGAAGAAAAAGAAAGAAGAAGAAATTCAACGACACTCATACATATTTCATATGTCGGTGTAATAAACGAGTATCGTATCGTCGAATACGAACCATCTTGTCCTGGCTCTCCTTTGATGGAAGATCCTTTTAATCCTGCCAATCCAGGGAGCCCGGAAGGTCCTGGAGGACCAGGCGGCCCGATGTAACCTACTTTGCCAGGTAAACCTGGTACTCCTGGCTCACCTGGGCTACCAGGCGGACCTAATCGCAAGAGACGACATTGTTGACAACGAAATTCTTGTTTACAGTGGATCTACAGTGTGTCTGGTTCAAATTGAGAGCGCCTAAATGTCTCGAGAAATATAAACGACACGAGAAAACGAATGTAACAGTGTCACAAGATATTCGAGATATTCAGGTGTGTCATTAAAATTTTTAAATGGAATCCTACAATTTTTATCGCGTGTTTCTCAAACTTTGCAAACTTTGCAAAATCTTACAAACTTGCTTTTTTTTTTTAAATAAATTGTTACGAGCCTCTAAATTTCTATACAATGTAATACAGTAATTTGTACATATATTATAATATATATTATAACATAGTATATAGATAGTATAACATATGTTATAACATTATATAGATATTATATTATTTATAACATAGTATATAGATAGTATAACATATATTATAACATAGTATATAGTATAGTATAACATATGTTATAACATTATAATGTAATATTATGTTACCGAATATAATGAGTTTATTTTGAAAACGTTCGAACATCAGGTATAGGAATATATAACAAAGCACTGTGAATTCTCATTGAAAAATTCTAATCTCTAATCGAAAGAAGAAGGTTCCGTGGTCATCTGAAGACGAAACGAAGGACATCGATACGATCTTCAACATCCAATATAACTTTTATTCGACACACGTTTCCTATTTTTCTCGTACCATCTATACTTTTAAACAGACACAGGCTGTACATATTTTGGTGATTATCAATTGTCTCGTTGACAATTGAAAGGCGCGTTGGATTTATTTCTGCTTTCCTTCGCAATTTTATTTTGGATAAACACAGACCTAAATCTCCTTGAATTCCAATATTCCCCTGAATTATTTCATCCAGTTCCGGTATATATTTTCCAGGCTCTCCCGCTGCTCCTTGTTTACCAGGCGGTCCTTGATTCCCCGCGTCGCCCGACTCTCCCTGAATTTAAAATGCAAAGTACATTTTAAGCGAACGTCTGTCAACTATCGGAGAGCGGTCTAATTCGCTACAGCTATCCTGCAGCGACGGCAATTCTTATTCAAATTGCACCGAACTGGAAAACAGTGTAGCAATCGTTGATTTCCTTCGGTTTAATTCTGAAATTAATTCTGACGTTTGACCATTTCGAAGCAAGGTACTTTCTCATTTATTCTAATTTATCTGAAGCTTTGAAAATAAATAAATAAATAAATAAATAACACGTATAATTTGATGGAAAATTATACCCAAATTTCGCTAAATTTTATTTCAGAAAAGAATCCTGACGTTCGACCAGTTTAAAATAAGGTACTTTCTCGTTTATTTTAATTTATCTGAAGCTATGAAGAAAAAGCAAAACACGTTTAATTTGATGGAAAATTATAGCTAAATTTCGCCAAATTTTATTTCAGAAAATAATCCTGACGTTCGACCAGTTCAAAACAAGTTTTAATTTATCTGTGTTAAGCTGTGAAAAGAAACAAATATAATTTGATGCAAAATTATGGCTAAATTTCGCTAAATTTTAGTATAAAATAAAGTGAAAGGAAAGTCTTACGGGAAAGCCATCGGGTCCTGGTTTTCCAGCGTAGCCTGGAGCTCCTTTCTCTCCCTTTTCGCCTGCTGGTCCTGGCGGGCCTTCGACACCCTGTTTGCCTCTAGGTCCGTCGTCACCTTGCTCTCCTTTCATACCTTTAATACCAGGAAATCCTGGCCGACCCTGCGCGAAAATTTCACACGTACACACAAACAGGACCGCGATGATCCATCGGTGATTATCTTTTCATTTCGCGACTCTCCGGACTCTCCTGGCTTTACCAAGAGAAAGAGAATTTCTCTCGGCACATTTAGGCGCGAATCGACCTCGACGTGGCAAGAATCGATCGATCATTGATCGATGATCTCATCACAGGCGAGATATATGAATAGATCTAACATACAATGTATCTTTTCGACCCACGATTTCGGGGTGCCGGCACCCCCTTACCATTTTCGTGTCACGTCCTGTCGTACCGACTCAGCCAGGTTTTGCACCGCAGCGCTACTAGCGATGAGAATTAAAATCAAAAAATATGGACAGTGTTGCCAGATCTGTTCCGAGAATTACTTATTGAATCGAACGTGGCGGTATTTCATTAATGAAGGGATATTTAAAACGGCGGATTGATGAAAATCGGAATGACAAAATTTACTATATATTCGACTATTAACATCTACTTAAAAAGCATTAGAAAAAAAATTGACACTTTTATGAATGATATTATTATTATTATTTAGATGTAATGTTTTTCGTGAACATAAAATTGAATAGTATTTAATGATATATGAAATAATATTTTTATGAATAATATTTATTATTATATAATAATAAATATAAATATAATAATTATATAATTGATCAATATAATAGTTATTATATAATAATTATTATTATTATATTATTATATAATAATATAAATATAAATATAATAATTATATAATTAATAAATATAATAGTTATTATATAATAATGTTTGTTATAATTTAGATATTTCCTTATTTTTTTATTTAAGGTCTACTCACATATGTGACCTCGTCTGTGATCTCAAGTCGAAAGTACGCAATGAACTGTGTCCGGATAAGATTCGAAAGTTTTTAGGCTCGTGAATGTCACTTACGAAAGGACCTCTGTCGCCCAGTTCCCCTTTCCACCCCCGATCGCCAGTATCTCCTCGCATCCCCTTGGCACCTCTTGCACCCTTTACACGTGGGTAGTCGGTATTTCTCGTGTACTCGTCAGGACTTGGCAGGCCAGGCTCTCCTCTGTCTCCTTGCTCGCCCACCGTGCCTTTTATACCGTACACCGTTTCACCGACGTCGCCTTGCATGCCTGGTAATCCTGGAGATCCGCGGAAACCCTAGAACAATTTGATTCAACCCTTTTAAAAGTTTTACCCCCTGACGCAAACATTCCTTTCCCTCGTTCTACCAACGGGTGTGACGAAATTTATAAAATTAACCGAGCGAATAGAAAATGTCATTCTGGTTTAATACGAGATGGAGTAATTATGAGATTAGTTATTATTTCAAAATTATCTGGATCTCCTCATAAATAAGGATTTCGAAAGTTAATAAACATTAGTATAATTAAATATAATAAAAGTTAATATAATTGAAAGGATTAGTAAGTGAGTTCTTTAACTGAGAAACGTGGGTGAAAAGTAACTTTACAAATGTTAGTTTTTGAATGAATTGGATTAGTTGAGCCAGAAATATGTAAGATCATTGAATATGAAAATGCTGTAATTAAAATAATCGATGGTAAGACGAGAATGAAATGGAAATTTATATTTGTATCTATAACAAAACGGAAAGCAACTAACAACGAAGATTGTCGTGCTATGAAAACGATCAGTTCCAGTGCCATGTAGCGCGATCACGCTGTTCAGATTTCAATGTACACACGCATAATGTAATGCGCTCGGTTGTTTCGATCGTCGTCAGTCATATTGAAGCTCCCTCTTCCAGTTAAATTCCAGTTCTTTTCAACTAAAGCTAAACCACGTGCATAAATTTTTACTTTATCTGTACTTTTACGAGGTAATTTTTCCTTTATTTACTTTTATTTCTACTTTACCGACAGGGTAAGCGCTATCGCGCCGCACGGCACTATCCGACGCGGTCTTTTTAAACCAGCACTACGTAAAACTAGGATAAGCCACGAGCTATTTCGATATGTCGCGCCACCGGATCCAGATGTATATTATTATTCAGTTTCTCGTCTTTTTTTTTGCGCGTGCAAGGTGGCCGGTTTACAGAAAGCCGAATGCAACCAACTAAGAGATCTCGAGTTTCTCGGAAGATGCCGATCGCTCGCGGTGGAATCTTCTCGCCGAGGGTAGCTCGTGTTATCAGTGGCTGTCGGTAGTGTCAGCAAATAACGGAATCCAGGAGCGCGACGCTTCGGATTTCAACGGATTTCTGGCTCGTTTCGTCTTCAGAGATTATACACGTGGCTCCAGCGTGGCTGTTCGTCTCCTCTCCCGACTCGCTTGTATTTTCTCTTATTTCGCGTTACTTCCACTTGTTTCACCAATGAAAAAACGTATAGTCGGTAACTGAGAGCTAACGACAGTGAAAAATTGTAACAATTTCAACCGATATAACTTCGTGAGAAAAGATTGTGATAACGATCTAACACTAACTAAACTATAACAGTTTAATACTGACTAAACTGTAATATAAAATATACTGAAGTATAAAATCTGTATGGGAGATAGAGCAAAGAAATGAAAAGGCTTCACAATACGATATATATTACTCGAGCTTTTAATTTATATTTTTTTTTTTGCGAAAGATTATTGAAATATTTTAATAAACTTTTGTAGCCTTTTACGTCTATAAAATTTTTAATAAAAATCATAAATTGGTCATTTTGATTATTTTGATAGTTCTAGTGTAAAGAAGCTTCTACTTTGACTTTGAGTTCGTCCGAAGATGATTTTACATCGTGCAAATCAGTGGAAAATTCAAACGTCTGTGAAAAAATTAAAAATTTCTTTCCTCTACTAGGATTTACTATTGGTAGATCTTTGTGCATGAATTTTATATTTCATTTAATTGAAGTTTGAGTATCAGCGTTAAACGACAAAAATTCAAGAAACTCTAATGTGCAAAATTCAGTAAAATGATTTAAAAAAATAAAAGAAAACACCATACAACAGATCCTAAAGACACGTGGATCCAACCACGAGAAAGATTTTCGAAGAAATGTTTCTAGAGTTTGGATCCTGACAATTTTCAGTTTTCTACTCAGTCAGACGATGAAAATCATCTTTGAGAAAAGCAGACTCAGTCTAAGCTTTCAAATAAAATCAAGTAGAAATTTATTATTAGAAACCATCGACGATTTACCGATTACGTTATTCGTTCAGTCGTTGTATCTCGCTGTATCTGAAATAAATTGCTACGAAAGAACTACCTTTGTTCAGAACTGAAAGTCCCATAAAGTTACAAAAGATATTTATTGCGATTTAGTGAAAAAAAAAAAAAAAAGGGGCAGAAACTCTTGCCGGAGAACAAAAGGCGCTCGCCGCGAAAGATCTTTATCGCGACGATTTTTACAGAGGTACGAGCGAGTGGGAGATCCGAGCGCAGCGAGCCGCGCGATATCGCGTGTAGCACCGCTGAATTCCTTTAAATTCCTCGCGCTCACTTCTCGTTTCATCTCCTCACTTCTTATTTCCGGCGTGTCCGTTAAATATTGCCGACGAACACTTAGGCCAGCCAGACGATATTTCATGCGAGCAGGTGGCGTTTCGCAAAAAGGAACGAGACACGCGTCTAAAGGCTCTGGACCCCTTTCTCTCTCTCTCTCTCTCTCTCTCTCTCTCCTCCCTCTGCCCCTCTTCGTTCATCTTACTCCCCTTCGTCGTCGTTTCCACTCTTCTCTTCACGGACCCGGTCCGCTTGGCGAACGAGTGGCACGACCTAAACGCCCGTAAGAGGTTCACGAACCCTCTGGCTGGCCCGATCGGTCGTTACGGTACCCGAAGCGTGTACACCAACGAATAACCAAGCGATCCTCTCTACTCACCATGTCTCCCGTCTCTCCTGGATAGCCCATTTCACCGGGGATCCCGTACGATCCTGGAAAACCCTGCGCAGAAAATTGAAAATCAAATTATTCACCCTATCACGGATTCTTCACTTTTCATTGAAGGCAGGGCATTCTTGGTGGCGACATTCTTGCGGATTTTCCTCGCGCTGTCTTTCATTTTTTTTCCTTTTTGTTTTCTTTTCGAGAGCTAGACGCAGGGAACAACACGTGTTTATTAATTGAACAATCTACAATCGTGGAGTTAAAACGGTGAGACAGAAGGATATATTTTATTCGCAGTGTACGAATGTTTCTTTGACCATTTGGTCATTTGTGTCACTTTTCTGTTTATTTATTATAGTAATTGTTATTATTATATAATTATATGGAGATAATTATATATTATTATTATTATTTAATTATTATGTAATTATACAAGAGGAAAGTAAGGTAAAACCGGATAATACCTAATTTATTTAGCTTCGTAGCAAAAAAAAGGCTAAATCTCTTAATTGGACCTTATGTTATACAATAAGAAAATGACAAATTTTTGGAAAAAATTGTATGGTTTACAGAGGGGAAAAAATAAAATTTTCTGGAGGTATACAAACACCCGGTTTTCCCTTGTTACAATAATAATTATATTAATATTTCCTATGATACGCTATAATCCTAACATCCTCTATAATAATAACAACAATATTATTGTATATAATAATTAATATGACTGAATTTGGAAATTGCCATTTAAGGATACGTTGCGAAAAGCTAAATCTCTTAATTGGACCTACAATAAGAAAATGACCAAACTTTTTGGAAAAAATTGTATGGTTTACAGAGAGGAAAAAATAAAATTTTCTGGAAGTATACAAACACCCGGTTTTCCCCTGTTACAATAATAATTATATTAATATTTCCTATGATACGCTATAATATCCTAACATCCTCTATAATAATAACAACAATAATATTGTATATAATAATTAATATTTACAACTAATGGCCGACTGAATTTGGAAATTACCACGTCGCGAAAAGCTAAATTTCTTAATTGGACCTACAATAAGAAAATGACCAAACTTTTTGGAAAAAATTGTATGGTTTACAGAGGGGAAAGAATAAAATTTTCTGGAGGTATACAAACACCCGGTTTTCCCCTGTTACAATAATAATTATATTAATATTCCCTATGATACGCTATAATATCCTAACATCCCCTATAATAATAACAACAATGATATTGTATAATAATTAATATTTACAACTAATGGCCGACTGAAATTGGAAATTACCACGTCGCGAAAGCTAAATTTCTTAATTGGACCTAAAATAAGAAAATGACCAAACTTTTTGGAAAAAATTGTATGGTTTACAGAGGGGAAAAAATAAAATTTTCTGGAGGTATACAAACACCCGGTTTTCCCCTGTTACAATAATAATTATATTAATATTTCCTATGATACGCTATAATATCCTAACATCCTCTATAATAATAACAACAATATTATTGTATATAATAATTAATATGACTGAATTTGGAAATTGCCATTTAAGGGTACGTTGCGAAAAGCTAAATCTCTTAATTGGACCTACAATAAGAAAATGACCAAACTTTTTGGAAAAAATTGTATGGTTTACAGAGGGGAAAAAATAAAATTTTCTGGAGGTATACAAACACCCGGTTTTCCCCTGTTACAATAATAATTATATTAATATTTCCTATGATACGCTATAATATCCTAACATCCTCTATAATAATAACAACAATATTATTGTATATAATAATTAATATGACTGAATTTGGAAATTGCCATTTAAGGGTACGTCGCGAAAGACATCGACGATCGCAGTTCGAATTTTGTTACCGAAATGGCGGCCGTCGTTCGAACGATCCCGCGTGATTTGATTTAGTCGACGATTCGCAGCTTTTCTCGAGAGAACCAGACGAAGAAATTTCTGCTGCATCGCTCGATTCGCTCGCATTCATGTCACGTTTCGAAGCTACTACCGTGAACGAGCAACGTATGCCCCAACTATTTCCTGCGGTTCGTCAACGGTTCTTACTCGCCCGTGGAAACCGTAACATTTCACTCGACGCTCGATTTATTCGTCGACGGGGGGAATCCCTTAACAACGATTATCCGTCGATGTGTGCCCTCACAGGACAAGAACACCAGATTCGAATTTTATAGATATTTTTTCCCCGAGTGTTGCAATCCGCAAGAATGTCGACGTTGTAGGGTTGGAACTGTCTGTAATTGTTGTCGAATAATCGACAAACGCGAGAAAAAGTGTATTTTTTATTCGAAGAGTCTTCGATTCTTCGGCTCTTCAATGACGATGCTTCGCACTTTTGGTTTCTCGATGTTTAATTTCGAGAACTAGGGATGGAGCTTAGGAAACGTCGAGATCCAAGAAAGTTTCTAAACCTAAGTCTAATCTTTCCTCGGTGTAGTTGAAACCTACTTTCTTCAATGAAACTCAGATAAGAAAGATGTAAAAATCAACGAGTGAAGTCATCGCTCGCTGCGAGGTGATCGTTCGCAAACGCAATGATCTTTCGTTCATAACGATCGATAAACATGCCGATATGAACGCAAGAACGTTCGAACATTAATATTATACTTTTGAACAAGAATCTGAATTAATTGTTTCTGCACGTTGATGTGTGTAAAATTTTACGTGATAAACTGTCAACTTCAGTTCTTAAAACGAGAAATTAACATTAGAATTACCGGCGATTGAAACGTGAAATTTTGCATCAGAGGGGTTAAAGTAAAAAGAAAAGAAAAAAGTAGAAAATTTTATAATACTTATAATAGATAGGTTTTTATTTATATATTTTACGAAAGATCACCTAAATCTCTAAAATTAACACTGTTTTATATCTGTAAAATATCAAAAAATTGATCATTTTGACCATTTTTGTAGTTCTAGTCTAAAATTTTTAGTCTAATAAGTACACAAGCTTTTATTTATATGTTTTACGAAAAATCATTCAAGTTTCTAAAAACTAACACTGGTTTACATCTGTAAAATATCAAAAAATTGGTCATTTTGACCATTTTAGTAGTTCTAGTCTAAAATTTCTAGTCTAGTAAGTACACAAGCTTTTATTTATATGTTTTACAAAAAATCATTCAAGTTTCTAAAATCTAACACTGTTTTACATCTGTAAAATATCAAAAAATTGGTCATTTTGACCATTTTAGTAGTTCTAGTCTAAAATTTCTAATCCAGTAAGTACACAAGCTTTTATTTATATATTTTACGAAAAATCATTTAAGTCTCTAAAAACTAACACCGTTTTCCATCTGTAAAATATCAAAAAATTGGTCATTTTGACCATTTTAGTAGTTCTAGTCTAAAATTTCTAATCCAGTAAGTACACAAGCTTTTATTTATATATTTTACGAAAAATCATTTAAGTCTCTAAAAACTAACACCGTTTTCCATCTGTAAAATATCAAAAAATTGGTCATTTTGACCATTTTAGTAGTTCTAGTCTAAAATTTCTAATCCAGTAAGTACACAAGCTTTTATTTATATGTTTTACAAAAAATCATTCAAGTTTCTAAAAACTAACACTGTTTTATATCCGTAAAGTATCAAAAAATTACAAATTGGTCATTTTGACCATTTTGATCGTTCTACTCTAAAATTTCCATCAGACGTGTCAAAGTAAAAGAAAAAAAAAAATAGAAAAAACTTTATAATACTTACGACAAAGCTTTTATTTATACATTTTACGAAAGATTTACATCTAAATCTCCAGAAACACATTTTACATCTGTAAAATATCATTCTGACCATTTTTTGGTAGTTCTAGTGTTAAAAGAGATGAGACCAGCACTCTCTCTTCCCATTTCAAACCGTTTCGAAGCTTCGCGAAGTGCTTCGAGAGTTTCGAACGTTTCGAAAATTTCGAACCTCGTCCCAGTTTAAAACCGAAAATGACGGATTATTATTATTATTATTACCTCAGGCCCGTCGACGCCAGCGTCTCCTCGAACGCCTTTCACGCCCACGGAATTGATACCACCGTCACCAGGTTCACCGGCGGGCCCTTGTTCTCCGAATGACCCTGGTTCACCACGTTCACCATGGATACCAGGCAATCCTGGTGGACCGGTACGTCCGTCGGTCCCGTTGCATCCGTCCAGACCGTCTGGTCCCATCACACCTGATGGACCGGATTTACCCTGCGGCCAACCGTAGTTAATTATTCCTTCTGTTTCGTTCTTTTCTCCTCGGTCTTATTCCGGCGAGTCTCGACTCGAAGGTGGAAGGAATTACGATGAATTGTCATCGTTTCGAACGTTCGAGAGTCAGAGAAAATGGGAAAATTTATAAAATACATTTTGCACTCGATTTTCGATTCGACAGTACAGCAAAATGATTCAAGTTATTATCGCAGGAAGAATTCAAGTATTCGGAAGATCTATTGACTGTAAGATCGAGTGGGAATTCCCGTATGTGTCTGATCGAATCGCAATCATTTTGTGTGCCATCGCCATCCGTTACCAAGTGGGCATTTCCTCTCTCGATCTATTTGTAAAGTCAATTTTTCCAGACAACGAAGTTTTCTGTCAAAACGTGTATTACTTGCATGCCAGTAGGCCCGTCTATTTTTGTTTCTTTCAGGGGAATAATATATATATATTATATTTTAATATATTATTATTATTTTTAATCTATTTATTTAATATATTACAAAATAATATATATATTATTAAAAATAATAACATATTATATAATATAGTAAATAAATAATAATAAATAATAATAGTTATAATATATATTATTATTATTTTTTAATATATATATATTGAAAAATAATAAATAACATATATTATAACATAAATAACATATATGTTATATATATATTAAAAAATAACAAATAATATATATATGTTATTTATTAAAAAATAATAAATAACATATATATATATAATAATAAAATAATTTATTATTATTACAATAATATATATAAATATCATAAAATATATATAAATATATGATAATACATATATATATAAATATAATAAATAATATATATTTAAAAAAAGTATATATATATTTTTCTTTCTGATAAAACACGCAGTTTCTGTTTTTCTTTCACCGTTTCTGTAAAATGGGACGAAATATAACAAATCTAGAAAAGTTTGCGCGGGTATGTAGTTGTAAATTCGGTTCGCCTGCAGCTGAAGTTATCAAACAATAAAGTTGATTTCTAAAGAAGGAAACTTTGTCGCGTTTCGTGTGAATGTACGAAGCTTCCGGCGTTTTTTTCTTTTAATGTGTCGTCATACTAAATGTTGTACTAAAGCAAGAAAGAAATTAATTAAAATTGAAGAACAAGGGGGAAAATGCACGAGTCCTAAATTAAAACGGAGTTTGTTGAACGTGAGTTAGGAAATATTCTCTAGAAACTCGCCCGAGTGTATTTAAATTCATGGCTCGTGAAATTTAGGCAACATCTGGGGCGGGGAAAATTTGAATGTAAAAATTGATACTCGGTAAACGAACTTTTAATGGAATGGAGATTTTTTACGAACCGGCAGTCCGTCAGCTCCTGGGAAACCTCGTATACCTGGGTCACCCTGCAAAGAAAAAAATAGAGATTAGGATCGTTCCAGCGAAATTTTGCTGTTAGTATGCATGATTTCTTCCTTTATGTCGAGCATTCTTTCAGAAACAGTGATCGACACTATCTTTCGCGAGTAAAGGGCCACGTGTAACACGAAGTATAAAAAAATTCTCCCATCTCTCCGAGAAAGAAGAAAATGGCAAAAAGCAGATACTTGCTGGAATAGTATAATAGGCCTTTCACGCCTATCATATTCATGTACTTTTAATTAAGTTAGCTTCATCACGCAAATAATATGATTGAAACATAATTCTAAAAAGAAATCTTATTTTTCAATAATAATAATAATTAATTATTTTCAATGACAACACGACTGAAACATAATACTAAATATAATATATAACACACAAAATAATAAAATGTAATGCATAATGAAAATTTTCACTTCTTTAGAATTCTAAAAAAAAACTATATTTTTTCAGTTTTTTTCAGTAGTATTTTAGTTAGTTTAGCAAAAATTTCATTCTTTAGAAATTTTATTTCTCAATTAGAGTTCCAAAGAAACGTTATCTTTTTTCTAAGCAGAGAGAAATTCAATGTTGATACAAGTACAGCGTAATTTCACTGTCCTCGCGTCTGAAAATTACGATCATCAACCGCGTGTATCCTTTCATTCGACAACTGGCAACAAAGAGCACATTGGCTCTACACTGTCGTTAGTTGCATCAAAGATCCCACACGCACTTCGCTTCGCACGTTCGTAAAAATAAATTTCCACGATGACACCGCCCACTGCATGTTTATTTAAACAACCATGTTTCGTGGTGTACGCGGTTGGCCGCAATCGCGAAGATACGATTACTGCGCGATTCGCGCAATTGATTCGTTGGAAGGCCATCTAATCAGCAGTTGCGGCAACCGCAGCCGTTTTAAAACGATTCTTCCTGATCTCGAGGTGGCTGTAAAAGTGTGCGGCTCGAAATGCGCGATTCCGCGCTGCATAAAATAAAGCGCGTTGCTAGCAATTGCCAATTGCACTCAATTACCGTGACTTGAGACTGTAATCGCACGCACGCGATCGGTGGATCAAAAAACGCGCACCCAGCTTTTGTGGTAACCTTTTTTTTTTTTTTTTTTTTTTTTTTTTGTCAAAACGAACGATACGTTAATGAAATCTGTTTTCGTAATTGGTTTATTATGTTGGAAAGTAACTAGCAATTTCTCTGACAATGAATTGTACAATAGAAATATAACATACAATATACGATAATTATTATACAATAATATAAAAGTGTATTATACAATATATTATATATTTTATAATTATTGAATATTAATATGTTGTGTATTATTCTAAAATATATTATGTAGTGTATACAATGTATATTGTATATAATAATTAAATATATTATATTATTGTATATTATTACAAAATAGGAAAGTAACATGAACACTAGCAATTTTTCTGACAATGAATTATACAATATACAATATACGATAATTATTATACAATAATATAAAAGTGTATTATACAGTATATTGTATATATTATAATTATTAGATATTAATACGTTGTATATTATTATAAAATATATTACATAGTATATACAATATATTGTTATAAAATATATTATGTAGTATATACAATGTATATTGTATATAATAATTAAATATATTATATTATTGAATATTATTACAAAATAGGAAAGTAACGTGAACACTAGCAATTTCTCTGACAGTGAATTATACAATAGAAATACAATATATAATATACGATAATTATTATACAATAATATAAAAGTGTATTATACAATATATTGTATGTATTATAATTATTAAATATTAATATGTTGTATATTATTATAAAATATATTACATGGCATATACAATATATTGTATATATTATATTCATTAAATATTAATATATTGTATATTATTATAAAATATATTATGTAGTACATACAATATATATTGTGTATAATAATTAAATATATTAAATATATTAACAGTAGTACATACAATATATATTGTGTATAATAATTAAATATATTAAATATATTAAATATATACATTATTGTATATTGTTACAAAATATATTATACAAACTCTCTCGAATTTTTACATTTCTTGTATTATTATTATAAATGGCTACTGTGCACATCATACTTTAATTTGCAGCGAACCATCTACGAAAACAGATTTTGTTAATGTATCGTTAATAAACTGATGCAGGCGTGCTAATAATTTTTTTCAAATGTCGTTCTTTCCCTCGTGTCTCGTTGGATCGTCGAAGCTCGCAGGCTCGTTTTTACAATTTGTTACGTTCGAAATCTCTCGTTGTGAAATTGGAATCGAATCGAGAAATATATTTAACAACGAATTCAACGAATTCTCTTGTGACGTTCCCTGCTGACACAGATCCGTCAGACGTCGTCGCTAATTATTTGTCGTTAAAATGTTATTGTTAGTTAGATTTATTCGACAGCCAGTTAAATTTCACTGTTTGAGCATCGATGAAAATATTGCTGGTCTATTTCGTTCTCTTTTTATATATATATATATATATATATACATTTTTTTTTCGAGAGGGACATTCGTTTTCGTCGAAAACAGCAAAACCTTTTACAAATTGATGTGTTGCATCTCGCGTGCGTGTGTTTCATTTCATTTTATTCAATTCGGGACTGCATTCTAGAAATAGAAACGTCGTTCCGCATTGTAACAACAATAACATGAATTTTTGTTTGGCGAATATTGCTCATGCGCTCCCGCACGGAAATAAATTTTTATACAACGACGAAACAATGAAATTAAAATCTCCACGACTTTTAAGTGGACAAGCTGAAACGTTTGTCAATCTTTGACGCGATCTCGAAGGAAATTAAACCGTATTTTTGCAAAAATTAACGATAAAACAATAAAATTAAAATCTCTGCGATTTTTAAAGGGACGAGCTGAAAAGTTTGACACGATCCTGAAGGAAAATAAACCGCATTTTTTACGAAAATTAATAGTAAAACAATAGAATTAAAATCTCTGCGATTTTTAAAAGAACAAGCTGAAAAGTTTGACACAATCACAAAGGAAAGTAAACCACATTTTTTCAAAAATTAACAATAAAACAATAAAATTAAAATCTCTCTGCGATCTTTAAGTGGACAAGCTGAAAAGTTTGTCAATTTATGACACGATCGCGAAGGAAAATAAACGGCATTTTTACAAAAATTAACAGTAAAACAATAAAATTAAAATCTCTACGACCCTTAAGAGAAGAAAAATTCGAAAAGTCTGTTGATCTTTCTGTTCAAGTTAAGGCTACGATATGGACCTTCACACTCTCGGCGAGTGTTAATTTATCCTCTTCATCGAGAATAAAATTCGAAGATCGATAACAGGATAATACAATAATAACAATTGTATATTCTTACAATAATAACAATTGTATATTTTAATTTCTCACGCCAAATTGCCAAACTGGCAAATATCTATGACCAGTGGCGTAGGCGAATGAAAGATCAGGTCGAAAAGTAGCAGTGACCAAAGGGAAAGAGGAAAGGGATAACGAGACACGGGAAAAGGCAAACGAAAGAGAACAAACAGATTCGAAGATAAAACCGATAAGGACGAGGCGCTTTGAAAACGCTTGCAGATTGAATCAGTAGGAGCAACGAGGAAGATGAATCAGTCTGCCAGAAACGAATTTTAAAGACAAAAATGCCGCGGCGCAGAAAATGATCGAATTGGGTTGTTTGAAATGGGACGGAAAATTGCAGAAACGTAGATTGAAACGGAAGCGGCTTTTGGAAGGTGGAGTGAGAACAGAAGAGAACAGTGGCGTAGGAAATAGTGTTGAAAGCTGCTTTCACAAAGGCAAAGCTTTTTGTATTAATTCTCGACCGCAAGGGGGCAAAAGGAGTTTAAGGAAAGATGAGACGCGTCGCACGCTTTCCCCACCCGGCTTTTCACGCAACATTTACCGAGCGAGTCTCAGCGGCAGAGTCACGGAACGAGTGGTTATTTGCACCCTCCTCAACTTCACTACCACCATCGGCGGATCTTCAACGCGTCTTTGATCCCGACGCGAGTCTCACGAGTGCTCGACCGACTGTAGATTATTTACGTGCTCATCTTTCACTTGCAACAACAGTATCTCTATTACTATCTTTGTCCAGTGTTTGTGCAATTTTTGTATTTCTGTATTTCTGTATTTCTGTAATTTTGTAATTTTGTAATTTTGTATTTCTGTCTTTTGTGTTTTTGTATTTCTGTGTTTTTGAGGTTTTGTACTTGTGTACTTCTGTACTTTTGTACTTCTGTATTTTTGTATTTCTGTATTCCTGTATTTTTGTACTTCTGTATTTCTGTATTTCTGTAATTTTGTAATTTTGTATTTTTGTCTTTTGTGTTTTTGCGTTTTTGAGTTTTTGTACTTTTGTCCTTCTGTACTTTTGTACTTATGTACTTATGTATGTCTGTATTTCTGTAATTTTGTATTTTTGTATTTTTTCTTTTTGAGTTTTGTGTTTTTGAGTTTTTGTACTTTTGTATTTCTGTATTTTTGTACTTCTGTATTTCTGTATTTCTGTAATTTTGTAATTTTGTATTTTTGTATTTTTTTCTTTTGTGTTTTTGTGTTTTTGAGTTTTTGTACTTTCGTACTTATGTACTTCTGTATTTCTGTATTTCTGTATTTCTGAAATTTTGTAATTTTGTATTTTTTTCTTTTGTGTTTTTGTGTTTTTGTACTTTTGTCTTTCTGTACTTTTGTACTTCTGTATTTCTGTAATTTTTTAATTTTGTATTTTTGTATTTTTGTCTTTTGTTTTTTTTGTGTTTTTGAGTTTTTGTACTTTCGTACTTTTATATTGCAACGGGGAGAGATCACCCGAAACGAGATCTAGAAAATTAGAAATTTAGAAAAATTCGCAAATCTTAAATTTAATTTAAATTAATCTTAAATTTTTTTTAAGTGGAGCGATAAGGTGAAAGATAAAAGGACACCTAATGGTACAC